AGAGAGAGAGAGATGGGGGAGTCGATGAGGATTAGGAGGAAGTCGGTGGCTGGGGGGGAGGTGAAAGGTTCATCACGCTTTTTTGTCTTTTTCTTTTCTCTATTTTTTTTCGTACGTGTGTGTGTGAGAGAGAGAGAGACGGGGGAAGGGAGGAGGGTGAGGGGAAGCCGGCGAGGTGGTGGGAGGTATAGACGCGCTAAGTGCCAGGATGTCTTTTGTCTTTTGATTTTTTATTATTATTTTTTATTATTATTTATTATTATTATTATTATTATTATTATTATTTGTGTGTGTGTGAGAGAGAGAGAGAAGGGGGGGGGGCCTGTGACAAGCTGTCCATTATGTGACTGTGACACGTGCTACTTCGTTTCTTCTTTGCCTTTTGCCTTCCAGAAAATGTTCCAAGATGCACGCTCAGCATTATGGCTCTCATGCCAATGCTACTCCCGACAAGTCCCCCACCCAAAGAGCAACTGCCAAGCAGATTGAATGCTGATTGTTTCATTCATACAATGCAAAACTTGCTTAACATCAGTGGCACTCCTATAGTTGGAGGCGCCTTCCAACAACTTCCCCGGGCCAATCGTCAATGACATCATCCGAGCCCACCAAACTGAGACTCACCCACACGCGCTTGCACTTGCACACACAGCGCCCAAACTCAACAAGCAAGCACGGGGCATACATGCAAGATAGCTTGATCACAAACATATCCAGAGAACACAGCAAACAAAGTCTGATTCTGAATCTTCACCAAAAACATCAACGAGACAATGGACTGGATTTTCTCAGAGAAGTCCAGAGTTCTTGCACAGCACAAAACAAAAACGATGCTGCAAAGGTAACGGCTCCCCAAACAAAACACGCAAAGATAAAGAAAAAAGAATGTTCGGTGGTATTCCCTGCTATTTTCTTGCACGCGGGTTTTCGTCGGCTATCACGCTCTTCTTCTTCTTATTGTGAAAGAAGCGGCATATGATAGTGAAGTTCCTTGTGCGTTCTTTCTTTTGTGCTTTTTTCTTTTTCTGTTTTTGCTGGCGAAGCCGCAACGGGTCATCTAGCACAAGATAGGAGTCTGAAATAGGCCTCACGTGGATATTCAGGCCCGCCCTCACTTAGGGCGGGCAAGAGGCTTGCTGGGGGCCCAGGCCCAGCACTTCATAGGTAGGACCTTGCAAAAGAAGAGAGGCCCAGTGAGGGAGGCAGGAGGCCGGGTGGAGGGCGGAGGGCAGTGAGGAGGTCAGGTCGAGATCGGGCTAGGGAAGGAAAGGGGGGGGAAGGAGATTGAGAGGAGGAGGTTAGGCAGAAGTGTAGATTGGGCGGAAAAAGGGGAAGGAGGATATAGGGGGAAGGAGGAGCTCAGGCAGAGATGGAGAGAAGGGAGCAAGGGGGGGGAGATGGACGGACAGAGGGAGGTGGGAAGACTGTTTAAGAGAAGGATGACGCCCGGAGGAGGGCAGGAGGGTGGGGAAAGGCGGCAGGGAGAAGTCAAGTGGATTGTGGGCAGATGGAAGGAGGAAGGAGGGCAAAGATTTGGGCGGAGTATGGATGGAGGGAAGAGGTCAGA